AAATGTTAAATAATTGCATTCAATTTTACTCAATTTTAACATATTTTAACCAAATTGCATGTAATTTGGCAATTTGGTAATCCAATTATATTAATTTTAAATTAGAACTAAATATACTTTTCTCTCATAATTCGTAATTTAAGTTTATAAAAGATGACTAAAGAGATAAAAATAGAAGATGTTTAGAACAAATGAAGTACTCCGTCCGTCCCCCAGTATTTGTCCAGCATTCCATAGATAATACAATTCATGATAGATTGATAAATGCGAAGAGACAAAAAATAAACAAATAATTAAATTTCAATTCAAAAATAACTTATATGCAAACATATCTGAAGCAAAATGTATCTGGTATCGAAATTGATCTCAACCGAATCTGAACCGATCCGGAATCGAACTGAAACTGAAAAATATATGGAACCGAATTAAACCCAAATCAAAACTAAACCGAATCGATTCGAACCGATTACAATATATATCCGAAAGATATTCTAGCCAAAATATTCCAAACCGCAATCGATCCGATTACCTCCTCTAGTTAAGGGTTATCTAGTTAGGGGTTATCAATATTGAAATGGCTTATTTCCTAAAACACTAAACTCACCGTCCAAGATTAAACGGTATCTAGAACTAAAAATAGAAAAATGCACAAAACACAAAACGAGAGAAAAGCGTCCAAGATTAATCATTCTAATTTCCTTTTTATTAGTCCGTCATAAAGTAATTATCATATTTTCTTATTTGTCTAACAAAATAAAGAATATATGATCACAATCTTTTTCTTTTTTTCTAAACAAATTCCGATCACCGAATTTTTATTTTTTAATATTTTTTGAAATTTCGTGAGGTCAAATTAGGATAATGAATTCGAGACATATGAATTATGTATATAATCAAAAGATAATTTAATTTAGGAGAGAGAGTCTACAAATGAGAGTTTCCACGGCTAATGATAAACGTTTTTCCTAACTATAAGGCATGACAAACATTTATTTTATAGTTTTCATTTGAAATGCTTGTATCACCACATGTCCTGAATTTCTACACCCACATGTGATAAACTTTTTTTCCTACCTATATGGAGTTGCACATATCTATAACTTTCATTTGAAATCTTTGTATGGCTCTCCTTTAAATTCGTTTCTACAACTAAATGTTTAAGACTATAAATTTGGGCAAATAGAGGAAAAATAACAATTCAGCTACACAGATTTGATCTGTTCGCAATTAATAAGAGAAGTGTATTCTCTCTATTAAAAGGCATTGCCAATCGTCATTAAAGAAAACAAAATGGCAAACTTAAGAGTTGTTATTGTTGTTCTCATGGCTCTAGCTATATACGCACCTATCTCGACAGCAGTAGAGGAAAACGGATACTTTGGAGACAGAAAGTTATTAGTACAGTTACCTAAGAAATACAATTTAGCATCACAATCTATTGATGTAATCAAGCCACAACCAACTAAGGGTAACAACCCGGCACCGCAATTTGTTGATGTAATCAAAGTACCAACCGAGATACCTAACACATATAATCGCGGTTGCAATGCTTTTAATAGATGTCGTCATGAGCGCTAAGAGTGTGCTTGCATTGGGATTGCAAGCAATGTACATTCAGTTATATTCTAACATCTATGTAAGCTCAATGTCTTTCGAAATAAAATGTTGTGTTTTTTTGCTAAGTTGATATTCCGTACGTAGACATATTTATTGCTCTAAACAAGCTCAAAGTCTTTTATGGTTCTGTGCTAAAGAGTGGCCTTTGAATTTGATGTTTTGTTTTGTGATTTGGCGTATGCTTGTTGCCACGTTAATAACTCTGCTACAATAGAGTATCAGTTAATACAAGGTACTTTTTTTCTCAATATATTAAAATTCAAAGGGTTATTGTCCTCATTAAGATTCGGACCTGTGGACTCCCATTTGAGAAATCTGCAATGATGTCGTTGGATTACAAGGTCTTTGGCATGTTATAAATAACATCATGAGCAAACACAAGATTGATAATATTCAGGCCTTTGCATAAAGAGTGATATGTGAGCTTAATAACTATCCATTTATTTTTTAAAAAAGTTGAAAGTGCAGTTAGACAAAGAAATATAAGAACTAAAAACTAAATAATTATAATGCAAGAAATACTTATGAAACTTAGTTTATATTTTACAAAAAAAAGAGAACGAATAATAGAAAAATATTATTTTGAATGTTTCTTAATGTTTTTAAATTCATCTAAAGAAAATTTAAACACAAAATAAAGTACATCACACACATATTAAAACTTGAACCTAATTTTCAAAATCAACTTATTATTTAATGAAATATAAAAAGATTTGTATATTTATAATATATTAGCGTAGCATAGTAGGAACTATTCCAAAACTACATCGGGGTACCCTCGATTTTCTGGTAATAACTTACAGGTCTCTCACATTACCTTAAATATATTTCAGGGAACCCTCAACTCTTTTTTAGAACTCTCAGATTCCACATCATATCATATATACTTTGAGGTCCTTAAAAGTTTTGGTATTATACTTTGATGGTAAATTCAGTCCATTTAGGCGTTTACTTTGACACATTGAAGGATTCTATTTAAATTTAATAAAATATTGAGTATCAAGGTAAAATTTAATATTTGTCAAAGTAATAGAACTTTTAATTCTAATGGCCAAACAGACAGAATGTACCCTCGGAGACATTACCACATTTTCAAAGGACCCACCTNTTTTGAATAATCTGAGACCTGAGAATTCTTATGAGAAAATTGAGGATACCGAAACATTTCAAATAATATGGGATCCATTAGTTATTACCAGAAAATTAAGGCTACCCCAGAGTAATTTTCTAGATCTATTCATGTATAATTCACTTCATTCAACTACTCCTTCCATCTAGATTTAATCTTCTCATTTAACTTTTCTGGGTCAAGATTTGTAAAATTTGATCTCGATATGCAAAAAAATATATTGTATTTTGATATAAATATAATATCAATAATTTCCTTTTTAAACATTGTTTTGAAGTATTAAAATTTTATCAAATATATCTATGTATAAATAACGGTCTAATCATCAATATGTTACATTGAAGACCATAAAAAGTCAAATAAAAAATTAAATCGGGACAAAGGGAGTATGCAAGAACATGTGAGTAACAAAAAGAAATCATCCTAAATAGGTGTAAGACATATATAAAGTACCAAAATAATAGTTCCATGTTTTTATTCACTAAAAAGAAATTTACATTGATTATGAGGCACTAGTGCTGGCAAATCGGTCGGTCATGTCGGATTCGAGTTCGGTCACTTCGAATTCAAATTATTTTGGATTTGGGTTGAGAACTATATGTTCATGACCCAGTGTCATCGGATTCGGGTTGACCCAACGGATTATGAGTTTGGTTTTTTAAATTTTTAAATTCACATTTACATTTATATTTTCTATTAAATAAATTTAAAATATCAAAAAATATGTATTAAATCTATTATATTATTCTATTTTAAATCCTGAAGATTTTTTTAGATACATAAATTAATATAAGGAATTTAAAAAATGATTAAGCTTTAGAAAAAAAGTAAGATAATTATGCAATATCATTAAAATTTTGTCTAAAAATATAAATTTATACATTAAAAACGAGTAGTAAAGTGTATGATTTTGAAAAACTCTTACTTTAGCGGGTCGGTCAGGTCGGGTTTGACCCTTTTTTAGTGGGTCATTTCGGATTCGGTAAACTTCGGGTACGATAATCAAAACCTTTGTTCAAAATCCAGTATTTTTAAGTTGGGATTCAGGTCAAAAATAGGTCGGGTCTTTTTTTGTCAGGTCTATGTGGCACTGTACATAGGCATTTTACCATATTTTTTGGTAATATACATGGCCATGATTGATAGTGTAATTACGGGCTAATAGCATGGCTGCATGGGTGCCCCCCGTGGTTTACAAAAAGAGCGTCAAATGCACCTATATTTTCAAATGCTATTTTTAAAGTCCCCACAGTTTTTAAATAGAGCACAGATTCCCCTCTTACATGTTTTTAGAGTTAAAATGACATTTTACTCTATGTTGAATTTCTACTTTTTTACTTTCCTTTATTATACGAATATATAAAATAAAATATACACTCCCCATCTCAAGTTTTAAAAAAATTCATTTATGTATTTTTGAAAATAAAGATTTTTTTTGGAGAATGTAACAAAATAAAATGAAAAATAGACTAATGAAATGAAATATGTGTATGAAGTAAAAGAAAAAAATAATTGAAAAAGGTAGTGAAAAGAAATAAAAAATAAAGAGTAATATTTTTCTTTTACTTCGTATTTTATTTCATCTTTCTATTCTTCATTTTTTAAAAGTCCCAAAAAATCGTTTTATTCGTAAACAAATTAGTTAAAATTTTGTTTTGAGATAGAGCGAGTATATGTTATCTAATTTTTTTATCCTATTTATTTTACTTTTAGGTATAATAAAAAAGTGTATTTTATTTCATTTTTCATTTTCTTTTGTAATTTTTTCTTAAAAACTGTTTTGTTTTGAAAAATTAATAAATGAAAATTTTTAATTTTAGATAGAGAGCGTTTTTTTTTTTATTTATTTACATAATAAACGAAGAATAAAGATAAAAGAGTGAAATTTGAATATAGAGAAAAAGAAAGAATATAAATGTCATTTTAAATCTAAACATAGGTAATACCTGTCTGTGCACTATTTAAAATCACATGAAATTTAAAAATAATTTTTGAAAATAGAGAAAGTTTTGGCGCCCTTTTTGTAAACCACAGAGGCACCCATGCTATTAACCTATGTAATTAAATTTTAACTTCTATTTTAAGAATAAAAACATGAAACTCCTATTTGAATATATTTTGAATATTTTACTTCTACTTTAGTCTTTTTCCTTTAAACAAAGTATTAAACGATTTCTATATATAAACATGAATACTACTCCATGATAGTTTCCCCTCTCAAGATTAAAATAAAAAACTAAAAAAGGGTACATACCTAATCATACATATATGTGATTTTCTCAAAAACAAATTGATTGAAATTTCTCTTTAATTTCATATTCAAACATCCTCAAAACAGTTCTTGCAACATCAACCAATAACCCCTAAGTACATTTCAGAAAGAAAGCATCGATTTTTCGAGTCCCTGCAGAGACTGGCTTATCTTTGGAGCGATTGCGGCTTCCTTTCGTTGGTTTGTGGGCTGGTTCAGAAGGCTGCGGCAGAGAGTCTAGGAGAAAACCAGTGGTGGGCCGGTGCCTTTTCACGCCAGCCACTAAGATCTCTAGATTGACTGTTTTCCTCTTCTTCTGGACTGCGACTTCGGCACATTTCTCAGCAAGGAGTTTGAGGAAGAGCTCAGTGGATGTGGAGATGAGAAACAGAGCTTCTGGATTGACCTTCTTGACATCCTTGTCGAGCTTCATGATCTTCTTCACCTTTCCTGTGGGAATTTGCAGGCGGGCTGTCTCTTCACTGCTGTGCTCTTCTCGGTGTTCTTCCGCCATTAGTGGTTACTGTACTTGCAGCTGAGCTCAATGCCAGCTCTGCAAATTCAACTCCATGATCAAGAGGGGATGAAGGGAAATGAACAAATGTCTCTCCTCTAACTAACACTATGTTTGGTTCCAGGAATTTGGAAGAATAAGAAAAGAAAGTGCACTAGAATGGGAGGAATCTGGTTTTCCCTTCTCCTAGTACATTTCGTCTTCTCATTTTCTTTTCCTTCCACATTTCTTTTCTTTTCCTCTCTAACCAAACAAGAAAAACTACTTTTCCTCTCATTTTCTGTTATTTTCCCTTTCAATTTTCTTGAACCAGACATAGTGTAAGAGAAAATTAAAAGGAATATCTTCATGTCATTCTCTATTCATTACATGAAATTCTTCAAAATATGTTTTTATATACAATCATGCCTTAACTGTTACGAGTTGCCCTTGTTGGAAGAAAGAAGAAGCTCATCGACTAGTACATCTAAGGACTATCAAATTATGAAGTTGTCTTTTCTGGAGTGGACTTTGAAGTATTGAACTAGCCCTACCGGAAACAAGGCACATCCTTGTACACACGAAGGAAAACATAGATAATAAGTAATAGAAAATGCAATGTCACATGTTCTATCCCTTCTACTTCAACAACAAACTTCGAAACAAACATAGAAGAAATGCACTTTCATATGAAGATACAAAAAGAGACAGTAAAGGAAAAGGTGATCAGCTTATCTTCCACGGATCTCAATTCCCTCCCACCCAACACCCATTTCAATATTTGATATTTTGATTCAAATATAAATAGAGAAAAATATACATAAAAACGAACGCGTGGACATATACACATCTGACCCACCTATAGATGTGTTGTTTCTCTTGGTTTCAGAAATGGGTCATGCTGGAATAACACCATCTTTGAGCCCTCTATAAATTTGTACACATTGGATATAATCATTTGTGAAAACACATAGTTCACAAATTCATAGACGATTGCAATTTGTGATATTAAAGTTGAGGTTATTCGAGCATTTTTTGTTCATAAATAAGTAGAGTATATTCCATTCGAATAATCAAGGAGCAATAAAAACGTATTTCAATGATCTCTCAAATTGGGAACAATTCTGGATCATAAAATGTTTCACTTGGTTTTAGAAATGGGTAATCCTGGAATAACAACTTTGATGCCTCTATAAATTTGTACACATTGGATATAATCATTTGTGAAAACACGGAGTTCACAAATTCATAGACAATTGTCATTTGTGATATTAAAGTTGGTGTTATTCGAGCATTTTTGTTCATAATTAAGGAACAATAAAAACGTATTTCAACGATCTCTCAAATTGGGAACAGTTCAGGATCAAAAAAATTATCAACCAAAACTATGGAGGAATAATACGCAAAGACATCTTCAAGATTGTGAGTTCTACACTTTACCAAATAAGGTTTTGACGTGTAGGGAAAATTGGAGATGCATAAAAATGAAACAATCATAAAACAGCAATAATTGAACTAGATAGTCGAATTAGAATCTGGAAATTACCTAGGGTTCGCTTGTCGAAATTTCTCGAAATCACGAGAACAGGAGTCGCAGGTCCGTCAATGAAGATGGGGAAGATGGGCAGATCTGGAGCGGATATTCCCGACGAATTACAGAAGAAGAAGAAGAAGCTTCGGACCAGAGTTGATGCGGCGAACAAGAAAGAGCTATGAGCTTGCGAGGGATGATTGTAACCCGCTTTAGACCCATTTTTTACCCGGGATTTTTGGCGGGAAGTTGATCCAACTTTTCACTCATACAGGGATTATATTTATATAATTCCCCCCAAAAAAAAGAATTACACTTTCCACTATTTAAAAATTATGATATTTTTATTTTTGTACATTTTGATTGATTATTAGAAAAAATAAAAAAAATGTTCTTAGATAGGAGGTAAAAAAGTTTTAAAATATCAAAGTAAAAATCTTATATCTTTTAAGACCAAAATAAGAGTATAATGGCAGTGTGGTATAAGAATACGCATTAGCAGTGTGATGAGTGTGACCGTGTATCAATGACGATGTTAACTCTTATTTTGATATTGAAAAACATATGACTCATATTTTGGTATTCTAATAGTTTTTTATTCCTATCTAGAGAATTCTTCCAAATAAAATACTATTATTTCATCTCGTTCTGTAGAACTTTAGACGTAATTTTTAAATATGTATGTTTATTTTCAAATTTTATACCTATCTTTAAATGAAATGAATAAAAAATAAACTTTCACTTCGTTTTGAATAAAGTGTAAAAAAAAATTGGAACAGATGAAGTATATTTTAAAAAATGTAAACACTCACAGAGATAAATGACTTTTTGTTTGAATTTTATTTTTTACATGCATTGTTAGATCTCGTTTTTTTCACCTGATCTGATTGGGATAAGTTCTGACACAATATAATCTAATTATAATTAGGGTCCGTTTGATACCCGGAATTGAATTTGAATTAAAATTGAAATTCTATGGAACCGAATTCAATGAAATTCAATTCTAATTTAATTTCAAATCCTTTTTTAAGGAATCCATAGAGATTTGTATTGTCATTGCAATCCTTTATTTGGTAACTCAAATCTCTATATAGAATTGATACGTTAGTAGAATGTTAAAATTTTAAATTTTAAAACTTAAAATTTAAAATTAAAAAATTAACTTTAAAATTCAGAATTAAAAATTAAAACTAAACCTACGAAATAGTATTAAAAATTAAAACTAAATCTAGATTTTATCCTAATTTCATCCAATTACAATAAATTGTATTGGTTTGGGTGTTAGTTTGATTAGCAATTCACCCAATATTACTCAACAAAGTTAGAGGTTAACATTATCGTTTTGAAAAGGCTTTCTAGTGACAGCGTTTAGTATTGTCATATTCAAATTTTAATCTATACCAATAAATTTAGGTATAAATTAATTATATTTGACTCGATTAAATTTAATTTTATCTAATTTCAATCAAATACACTCAAATAATTTATAAATCTTTTAGGAGTAATATTAAATAAATTTCACTTAATTTCACCAAATTTCACTCAATTTTTACAAAATTGAATTCAATTGAAGCGTAATACTCTTTCAATTCATCTTTTATCTTTGCATTTATAAACATAAGGATATTAATACATGTGATAAAAATTTGATATATCAAAACTAAATTTTAAAATCAATTTAATTATATTATTTTTATATCATAATTAAATATATATTTTTTCATAACTTGTAATCCAAATTTGTAAAATATGACTAAAAAGTAAAAAAAGATTATTTAGGATGGAGATAGTATAATTAGAAAAAAAATATACTTCGGTAAAATAATATGATATATTAAATTGATAATAGATTGATAAATGTGATAAAACAAAAAAAAGAAACATGGATAATTAAATTTTAATTAGAAATAATATATCCAAAATATATTTGATTGAAATATATCCAAATTGAAACATATCTGAAACCAAAATATATCTGAACCGAACTAGATTCAAATCTATCCGAAACCAAATCTATTTGAACCGTGTCTAAACCAACTCGAAACCGAACCAAAACCAAAAAATGTATAAAACCAAATCAAATCCAAACCAAAATTAAACCAATCTGAACCGAACTGATTATAACATATATCTAAAAGATATCCGAACCACAAAAATCCATTTCGAAATCGATCCGAATGACCCAATTGCCACCTTTAGCATTGAGGCACCCATACAGTGATTCATGAGACTCATAATAATAGTGGGTGAGGGTGAAGGAGTAGACCTAGATTACTGTTGTATTTGTAGAGTTACTGTCGTCACTAAAGTGAGATCCTACTAGATTGTTATTGTTGTAAAGTTACAAGCATCATTAAAGTTTGAATATGTGATGCCACTAAATTACAAAGTCTTTGGTCATCAGTATTCAAAAACAATAAAGTTAAAAACTACAGTACTTTTAAATAGCTTTTCTATTGTTTAACTAAAATCACTGGTGGTAAACAATTTAGTTTTTGCAAGGCACTAGTAAACTTAAACTATGTTTGGTTCAAGGAATATGAAAGAAAAAAAGAAATTTGATTCCCTCACTTTTTATTTCCTCACCAAAATGGGGAAAAATATTATTTTCCCTCATTTTAGTGTCACAATTTATTTTCATCTCATTTTTTCCCTTCTATTTTTTTATTCCACTCTGACCTAATGGGAAGAAATTCATGGAATCAAATAGTGTCACAATTCATCTGAACTTTTATAGTGTTTGGTCATGCTTTTTGTGCATGATTCTCACCATCTTACAGAAAATTAGAAGCTAAACCATATAGCAGTTAAAAGCTCTATCCATTTAACCAATGTGGGGGGGAGGGGGGGGGTGAAGAACCACATAGATGTTTCATGCGACAATGTAAGCATTCACCACCCTCCAAGAGGACATGAGTGCAACAAAATGGTTTTATGAACATCAAAAGCATAGGTCAAGAATCTCTAATATACCTGCCACCAGGTCCGCCACCTTCACCGCCTCCATAAGCACGGTGGTTGTTGTGGTGGTTATTGTTGTTGTGATTGTTGTTGTAGTTGTTGTAATAGCCATTACCTCTTCCTCCTCTCCCGCCGCCTCCCCTATGCTCAAAATTCCTCGATCTATAGTTACCGGGTTGATCATAGTATTGGTCATGGCCCCCATTCTGGTAGGAAGTGATGGCTTCCCTGCCACGCCCACCACGACCATTATAATTCCCCCTGTGTCTACCACCACGGCTGCTGCCCCTATAATTATTATTATTATAATTATTATAGGGCCGTCGAGGAACATGTTGCTCTTTCACATCCACTGGATCCTCCAATCCTTCCTGGGGATGAACACAGACAGTTTCAGCAGTCAAGTCTGGTGAATCTTTTTCCTCCTGTAAAAGCAAAATGTGTAGCACAGCTTTCATTTAGCCAAGGAGAAAACATCATAAAATAATCTTAGAGCTTGTTCTCTTCAACTTATTCTCATTACTTATAACTTATTTTTATTACAATCCGATCAGATCAGACTAGATGAGAAACAGCTTTAAATATAACAATATTCAAATAAGATCAAACCCAAATTTATTCCAATCAGATCAGAATCAATCAAAACATGTGAAGAAAACAAGCCCTTAGTATCAACGAGTATACACTTACCTGATGGTGTTCTTCGCCAGCATCGCCGTTATTAGTTTCGTTTTCGTTGTTAGAAACAAAAGGTTCTTCCTGAAAAGCAATGATAATTTGGCGTTGGAACACGACATGGAAAAGAAGAGACCAGAAAAACATGGCAATTATTAAATTGTAGCGGGATTCAGTTCACATAGGCTGATGGTAACAAACTCTCTTTATGTGTTGATGTACTGTTCTAGTAAATCTTTAAAAAAACAATGCGCACTTTGTCACGCACCAATTAACAGAACAAATATTCAAAAGCTTAAAAGCATTCTCTGTCAAAAGATAACCAAACACCCCTAGAGAACAAAATGACTAAAGTTTACAGTTGTACAATAAAATACATAAAATATCATCATCATAGATTCATAATCTCATACTCCCCCTCTGTCCCTCTGGATTTTGCCAACCTTTAGTGTTAATTACACCATAGGCTAGCAACCTGAGAGAGGAGAAGGTATTACACAGAAAAGAAAAAAAATGACAGCATCATAAAGTCATAACTACCATACAACATAGTTATCACGGCGCCAAGGCGAGGCGCGGCGCCAGTGTTACGCCATGATGCCTAGGCGACAAGAAAACATGAAGATTTTCTATACGTTAGTAACACTAGTATAAATATATCACATTATAACTTATATGTTATAGTTGTAGATGATAAAGTTTAAATTTAAAATTCATCAAAGTTTAACACCCACATGAAAAATGTTATATGTGTGCTCTATAAACCTATTCAAAAACACATATTTTAAAGAATAATATAAACATGCCGGCATTAAAAATATTGAATATGAAAACACTAAAAAAATTATTAAAAAAATATTTAATGACGGCAGACAAAAGTACAGTAAGTTGCTTTTTTATTGGGGTCAGAAGACATTGAAAATTTGAAACAAACCAATATGGAGTGAGAAGTAAAGATATACAACCCCGTTTAAAAAATGTCCTCTAAAACACAACTCCATTATCGCATGGCATAAAACAATAAAAAAAAGGATCGAAACCCATTTACAGAAAAAAGGGTTCGAAGCCCAATAAAATAAAACTGACGCGAGAATATGAGATGGGATCAAAAGAGATGACAAAGGAGATTGGCGATCGACACAGGAGGTACAGGTACGCGATCGCAATTTGAACACGGCGAGTTAGGAGGAGCTTCGGAAAGAGGTAGGGTTTTAATTTACTCCGTAATTTGGAGTCAAAATGGGCCTCCGACCCGACGACTTATTATAAAACTTTTTAATTTCACGGCGTTAGTCGTCTACGGCGCTGCGCCTGGACGCCAAGTCTTCCAAACAGAGACGCCTAGGCGAGGCATTGAAACTTAGGCGAGTCGATTGGCCATGGCGAGAAAAACATGCCGCCTGGACGCCTAGGCGACGCCGTGATAACTATGCTATACAAACAATTGTAGATTAATCATATAGGAATATAAGATAAGAAAATATCTTTTTGCCAAACTAATAGTCCCCTCAAAGAAATAAGAGCCGTTTTCTCCTATATTGAAGATAAGGTAAAACAAAGAATCGGCTCCTGGAACAAAAAGATCCTGATGAGGGCGGGAGAGGAGATTCTTCTCAAAAGTGTGGCTCAAGCCATGCCGACTTTTTCTATGAGTGTGTTCTTACTTCCAGACTCTCTTTTTGTTTGTCCTTGAAACATGCTATGAATCGGTTTTGGTGGGGTTTGGGTGGGTCCAATGGAAGAGGTATTCACTGGTGGGGCTTGGGATCGGCTCTGCGTTCCTAAAAAATTTGGTGGGCTAGGCTTTAAAGACTTGCGTGCTTTCAATCAGGCTAAGATTGGCAAGCAAGCTTGGCATTTTCTCGCAGAGCCTAATTCTCTCACAGCACGAGTGTTCAAGACAATGTATTTTGCTAAAACTACTTGTATTGAAGCTACTCTAGGTAGTTGTCCAAGTTTTTGTTGGTGGAGTATCATGGCTGCCCATAGTCTTGTTTGTAGTGGGGCAAGACGCAGAGTTGGTAATGGGGTGAGGACATTAGTTTGGGAAGACCCTTGGCTGCCAGATGGCTCGGACCCGTTGGTGATTGGTCCAAACCATTATGCCCCCTTAGCTCCGTGGCATAACGGTTGCTTGTTTGATTGATCCACTGTCCGGTTCATGGGATTTGCCCCTCTTAGTTGATCTGTTCCTTCCTTCAGATGTGGAACGTATCACCCGAGTTCCTGTGAACCCAGCTTTAGAGGATTCATGGTATTGGTTAGGGGACCCTAAGGGTTGTTATTCTGCCAAGTTGGGTTATAGCAATCTTATTGGGGATTTTAATGTGCAACCTTCTGGCTTCAAATTTTGGTCACAATTATGGAAGTTAAAAGTCCCACCAAAGTGGAGGTCCTTTCTTTGGAGGGCTGTTAAGAATGTTTTGCCTACTACTATTAACTTATATCAAAAAAGGGTTGATGTACATTTATTGTCCAAAATGTGGAGTGTGTGTCGAAGAAACCATGCATGCTTTGGTCTCTTACTCTCTTGTGATTTTTCCATTTGTGTTTGGCATCAAAGTGGATTGTCTATTGTGCTAAATGGTACAGATTTCACACGGTGGCTGGAGGCAATCTGGGAGATGTTGGATGGAAAATGTTTGCAAGGTTTTGGTGGCTGTGCTTTACGAGCTTTGGCGTGCACGGAATGAAGCTCTTTGGGAGGCAAGACTTCTCTCACCCCATGCAGTATGGCAGTCTGCGCAATCGGCAGTAGCCTGCTGGAGGTCGTTTGCTCCGGAGCGCGCTTCTCTTTCGACGCAAGTGATCCCCCAGCAACCGGAAGGAGTTTTCAGCCATGTCTTTGACTGTTTTTCTGATGCAGGTTTTGACTCCGGGTCCGGGAAGGCAGTTTTTGGTGTCATCATTCTCTCTTCGGTCGGTTCTTTTATTGTAGCTACAAACGGACCTTTACCACCTTGCTTCAATCCTTTAATGGCAGAAGCAATAGCTTGCAAAGAAGCTCTTTCATGGTTGAAGCATCAAGGAGTTTCTTCGGTTCGTCTCTTTTCAGATTGCTCTACTCTTTGTCAATGTTTCACCCTCCCTTTTAGCTCTAGATCTTATGTTGGCAACGTCATTTGTAGTTGCCGAGAACTTATGAGTTCTTTTCCTTCTTGCTCAATCCAATTTATTCATCGTTCATCTAATGTTTATGCGCACTTGCTACCTACACAAGCCTATTCTCAGGCTAACAAATTGTATTGGGATTCTATCCCTCTAGACTTCATTTCTTTGCCTTAATGAATTGTTTGTTGGTTTTCAATAAATAGTCCCCTCAAAGTGTTTCATTGCAGTGTAACTGACAGGTGTGTGATATGCACCTCGAGAAAGCGAAAATATTAAATAAGACCCACAAATTAACAAATAGTGCAGTTCCAAAACTAAGAGCAAGTCTTTTTTCCACAAGCAACGTACCAAATAGAAACTACTATAGGAGGAATAAAATGTTTAATGAAACTTGACCAAAAAAAGGTAAATTCTTTGGTAATTTATAACTATGTTCATAAGATAAATGTTTAATTAGAATCATTGGAAGGACATCAAATGGAATAATAAAATTGTAAGATTTTACATCATTTAACACACTAGGGAGTTTGTTAGTTATATGGATATGTAAATGTATACATGTGTGTGTGTGCGCGCACACAAACACTTATATTGATATATACATATACACATGCACATATACGGATACATATATTGACATTCATATATGAATACACTAGTGTTAACCACATGCTTCACACGGGCTCGTATATATTTTAAATTATAATATTTTATAAATATAATTATATCTATTGTTATTTTCTAGTAATATTTTTATAGTTCAGTTTTGGGTTATATTCTTTAAAATATTTTTTTTAGATTCTTTTAATATTTTAACATTTAGATCACATTACTTAAATAACGTAATAGGATAAAAATGTTGAAATAAATAAGTTGGATAATTGAGAGTAGTACTTTACAAAATAATAAAATAAAATAGACGGTGGGTAGTTTTAAAAAATTATAAACAATTATATTGGTATTTTTATTTAATAAAATTTAAATTACTTTTTTTTAAAATAACAACATACTTATGAATATTTTAGAACAGAAATTTATATTTTTAAAATAGTTAGAAAGTGAATGATTTTATAAAACAAATAATAAAATAATGGTTACTCCGTATTTAAAATCAAAATGTGAAGGATACAGAAAATATGTTTATAAAATTTTAAAAAATCTTAAATGCTGCTTGTATATTTGTTTAAAACACAATGGGTTAAAGCTCAAGTATTATGTGGATATGACTTTTCATTTTCTTCATTCTCTTAAAAAATTAAGTGGCAAGAGATGGCATGATGTGGCAATCTATTTGGCAATAAACTAATGCCGTGGCATGACACATATTGTAACCACACTTAATCCGCTCAACTTATATGTATGTATGTATGTATGTATGTATGTATGTATGTATGTATGTATGTATGTATGTATGTATGTATGTATGTATGTATGTATGTATGTATGTATGTATGTATGTATGTATGTATGTATGTATGTATGTATGTATGTATGTATGTATGTATGTATGTATGTGTGTGTGTGTGTATGTATGTATGTATGTATG